GTTTTATACCAGTGAGGCATTCTGGGAGTTGAAGTTGAAGTTGAAGTATCTTAAAGATGCCAAGATTGAAAAACATGGATTCACATTTATATTTAAATAACCTACGTGGATACATACTGAAAGCTTGCTACAATAGGGCAATGTTGAGCAATGAGCTGCCCAAGTCCTTCTTCCTTCTTTCACTTCTTCTTCTTTCTCCTCCGGACTTTTTTCTTCTTTTTCCTTCCTTTTCCTCATCCTCTTCCTCCTCTTTTATGCATGTTGACAATATTAGGAAAGATTTTTCACTGATTCCTCACTGTTAGTTGATTTAATCCTCAAAGACTTGAAATTCTGCTTTCCTGTGTTTTCCAAAAGCAACTGAAGGTGAGCTATTAATCTTTGAATACCTGCTCAGCTCGGAACAAGGACTTCAGTTGTCACCTGTCAGGAAGAAAGGGGAAAATAGACTGCATATCTGATCCATTGTTGATGTTTTGTTTCAATCAAAAGAAACAAAGATTGGCACATAAAAAATAATAAGAAATTAAGGAAAAAATTAAGAATTAAATTTAGAAAATTTTGCCTTCCCAGATGTTGACACTGATTTCTGTGTACTTAAACACCTTAAACACCTGCTCATGAGAGATGTGGAAACATGGCTAATCTCATATCTAGCCCAACCTTTGGGAATAAATAGATTCTCAGTGAAAGTCCTTTTGTAAGTGTATATTTTTTATTTTCTGTTCCAATCTTTGGGCATAACGTTTCATTTTCTTATGCATCTTTTAAAAATAGATTTACATAAGAAAGCTGATGAAACTTCTTGTCTGTTGTGAGAAAAACTCAGTTTAGCTTATTGAATTTATTAAGGTGCCATTTAAAGGCACATGAGTCCTGTTGAATATAGCAATAACACCTAAGATTTATCATCAACATAATGCCACCAACAGTTTAGGTCTTCAAAATATGGAAATGGCTAGAAGAAATGTTGGATTTAAAAATAAATTATACACCAAAAATATTTATATTGGGAATAATAAATGAGAATTTTAAAAAAGCAGATATTTACCTAATCATTCATGTAATTACAGCCGCAAGATTACTACTTGCCCAAACATGAAAGTTAAAAGAAATACCAAATGACGAAGCAATAATAAAAAAGATTTTTCAGTGCACTGAGCTAGATAATATAATGTTAGAATTGAAAGAGAAAGATACTTCAGAATTCTATGCGGTATGGGAAAATTTCTATGTATGGAGGGCTATGAAAGGAAGTCTAAAAAACGTGAACTAGAATTTAAGAAGAGATCTTATTGCAACATAATGTTTAGGATGAAAATTGATATAAAGATTAAATGTAAATATGTATATAGCTGTATATATGTATATAAATGTTTATATTGTTTGGTGATATTTTGCTTATATAACAATGTGAAGATTGATTATATATACATATATGTATATGTATATGCATATGCATATGCATATGTATATGTATATGTATATGTATATGTATATAAATGTTTATATTGTTTGGTGATATTTTGCTTATATAACAATGTGATCTATCTGTCTGTCTGTCTGTCTGTCTATCTATCTATCTATCTATCTATCTATCTATCTATCTATCTATCTATCTATCTATCTATCTATCTATCTATCTATCTATCTCAAAAAAGACCACCACGTTCAATGTTTTTAAAGCTTAATTTCAATAAAAACTATTAAAAAAAAAAACAATTTAGGTCTTCATTTTACTGACCTCGGAAGGATGGACGGCTGAGTCTACTTTGAGCCAGTCAGGATCAAATTCCTGGCTGTGGGTAGAGCATTCTAATGAAAGAGGGAGGGCAGGAGGGAGAAAGTATTTGGCTATTCCAGTGCCTGGTTGGCCTTTCTGAACCTGGAGTCAATTTCTATGTCCAAAGACCTAGCACTCGAGACAGCGCTAGCTACATACTTGAAGCTGGTAACATTTGTCAGCTTGCCTGTCATCAACAGTGACTTTTGGTTCCACAGACTTGATATTTGGCATGGGCTGATAAAGTACTTCAGTCTTGTTCAGGCTGATAGTTAGACCAAAGAGCACAGCAACATCTGAGAATTTGTTCAGCATCAACTATAGACCACTGTCTTTGTGAGCCAGAAGTGCATCAAAGAGGGTTTCTTGAAAGACTGTATGGAGGCACTTCTTCTGTGCATTCAAGCAGCAAAGGTCAAAGACAGAGATGTCCAATCAATTCCTGATGTACACACCTTCTTTCAAGCTGTGGACAGCACATGACAACATGCAACATGCAACAACAAATTGAACAGGACTGAGTCTAGCACACAACCTTGTTTTATCCAATTAGAAATAGCAAATTCAGCCTAGGAATCACTGTTGTAAAGAATCTGTCCATTATGAAATAGTTGATCAATTTCATGAATTTCTTCAGGCATCAATAACATCTCAAGATGATCCAGAGAGCCTTTTTTTTATAGTGTCAAATGCCTTTGTCAGTTCAATGAACCCAGAGTAAAGAAGCTTGTTCTGCTCAGTGTCCTTCTCCTGACTTGCCTCATGGCAAATATCATATCTGCTGTACTCCATTCTGGCCGAAAGCCATACTGCGCCTCCAGGATTTCCTTTCTGAGACAGTGACAAGCCTATTCAGGAAAATATGGGCAAAAACCTTGCCTGCAATGGACAGCAGTGAAATACCTCTGTAGCAGGAATGTCAAACTCAGTTTCATTGAGGGCCACTTCAGGGTTGTGTTTGACCTTGAGGGGCTCAGGTGGGCATGGCCGGGGTGGGCATGGCCAGTTCAACATCACTTATGTCAGGGGTGCCTGTAGCAGGCCAAGCACTCTGCCAGTGAAAACGGAGCTCGGGAGGGCCATCCACAGCCCTCATGAGCTTTATTTTCACTGGCAGAGGCACCACAGGTTGGTCCTTTGCTGTTTCCAGGGCAGTCCCGTGGGCCAGATCTAAGCACCCTAGGGACTGGAGTTTGACATCCCTGCTCTATAGTTTCTGCAATCTGATTTAGTTCCTCCCCTTTTTTTTACTGAGAGCAACAATTGAGGGTATCATGGAAGCCATCCAGCATCTTTCCTGTCAACCAAATGTCTTCCAAGATATCTCGGAAAGCCTGGAAGGCATTTGCGTCTAGTGCATTGTTGATCTCAGAAGGAATGCCATTGTATCCTGTTGCTTTCAGCTCAACTCTGATATCATTTTCTTGATCTAATGAGTAGAGGGAGGCAGGTAACTCTTTTGTGAGAATTCCACATTGATCTACTGGACCCTCCAAAGTTGGGAGTCCCCGACTTATCAATAATATCTGCCTTTAAAGGGAATTCATGTGATAACATATGCTTAGAAATTTTGTCCTTCTTATGTAACTTGGTTATATTTAATACTTGTTGTTTTACTGTCTTTCATGGCAAGTAATTTTTAACAAATCACACTTGGGATTTTTTTTTTGTGCCCTAAAAAGTGATATAGATTTGTAATTCAAACATATTTCAGTAGGTATAGTCACATTTAGAGATGGCCGGTGCAGCAGTATCGTATATTTTTTAAAATGTACGTCAGAAATCTAATCAAAACAAGACAATTACATTATATTAATTGCATGAGAAAAATAATATTGACTCACCAAATTAGTTGGGCTAGAGCTGAAGTGAAAAACTTTTCCTCCTTATATCAAGGGTGTCAAACTCACATCAGCGGTGTCACGTGACATATTAGGACTTTCTCCCCCTTCACTAAACCGGGCATGGGCATGGCCAGTGCGTGATGCATCCAGCCTGCAGGCCGGGAGTTTGACAGCTCTACTTTATATTGTATGACTTGTTTGATAAGAATTGTCTCACCTTTGTCTCAATTGTCTCTAGAACTTATTCAATTTTTTTATTTACTTAGAATATTATGATATTTCCACCTATTAAAATTAATTTCTTTTAACATGTTTTAGTAAGGAAAAGATAGTGATTCAAGTGACACAGTTAACCAAAGATTTTTTACAAGAAGATGGAATTTTTAAAATAAACAAACTTCAACTGAATATGGCCCAATATTTTTTAATCTTATTATTTAGCCCACAAGTTAGTTTTGAATTAATATCTTTCATGCAGATTTACAAAAGTTTTTAGTAGCCAGACTTAATAATTCAGGGACAAGAGCAAATTAGTTGTATCCACTGAGGTATTCTGTTGAAATGGTTCTCTAGAGAGGGATCTAAACAACATCATTAATTTTTCTCTCTTCTTGCTTGTTGTTCCATTAAGCCAAAGATCTTGCTTACAAAGAGACATGGAACAACAAGCAATACATGAAAAGGTATAGGAGTCTGAATATTGCCAAGACCAATTTGTGAATAGTGTGCAAATTAGCAGCAACCTGCAGTGTTGAGATGGTGTCACTATTTGGGTGACAGCTGAATGTTTGAAGTAAAACAAAGTTGTCCCTTTTCCCCATGTACTCAGGTATGGACGCTTCTAGCTTTATTGTTTCCTATAACCAGAATTTTTTTCACGTGATCAGATAAGTTCCGTCTCTTTCAACTTCAGAAAATTACATTGTGAAAAAAGGTTACATTTTGTTGTGTTTTCAGAGCTGAGTGTGTGATTTAAAAATGTAGGACACTTAACGATATCTGTCACTATCCACGACATACATGTGCAGTCACCATTTTGATATATCCTTTGAATTGAAGATTTCACAGCTGAAATTCTGCCCAGTCATTTGGATTTTATTCTCCATCTCCTACTTTTTGTACCTCTGTTTTATCTGCCTAATCACGCAGGTTTTCTGGACATGGGTTGCTGTGTTTTGTTACTGTAGTTTACTGAGTATGTTTCATACAATATCGTATTTATTTATTAAATTTATGTGCCACCCATTGGTTGGCCGATGATATTCTGAACTTTGAAGATATTGACCAATAGTTATTTCTACATCCTGTAAGAAAGGACACAGAAGACCTTTGAAGATTTAAGCATATCTGAAAGAGTCTTCTTCCATTTGCAGATGGTCCCGATTCCAGCTGGAGTGTTTACAATGGGAACTGATGAGCCCATTATAAAACAAGATGGAGAAGGGCCTGGAAGGAGAGTCCACATTGGTCATTTTTTCATGGATCGCTATGAAGTCAGCAATGCAGAGTTTGAGAAGTTTGTGAATGCTACTGGCTATGTTACAGAGGTAAGTGAAAGAAGTTGGCGTTTTTGCAAAACAGCCTTGTTTGTGTCCAAATAAAGCTTGAAGGTAAACTTTTGCTATAAAAGGAATATTTTATAAGAGGAATATTTTTCTTGTCAGATATTGGATTGGCCTGGGAAAAATAGAAGATATTCCTCCACAGCTCTTCATTTGGAGTCTGTACCTCCTAAAGATGAACATTTTGGAACACCCTGCACAAAGAAAAGGAAATAAACCACACAAAGACACCCACATAATTTACCTGTTAGGATGAACACAGTGTTTCTTGAGAGAAAATTTAAAATCAGCACAGAAGAAAAATACTTTTGCCCCACCCAACAAAAGAAAGGGACCCTTGATTGGTTATCGGTAGCAGCATTTTAGAGTAGCTTATTGAAAAGTGGACCAACCTGTAAAGCAGGAGGTACAAGTTCTTGCACCACTATTGCTTGTTATAAGACAGTAGCAGATAAATGTTGGACACATCACAAAGGATATCTTCCTTCATCTTCAACAGTTTACTTTCCTATTATCAGCCTACCATTATAGAGCTATAGGAGAAATCATAGCCTGGGAAACTGCTCATAGTTTATAAGATGGATGAGTGATTCGGGATACAGTATCAATCCAGGATGATAGAAGATTTCATCAAATTTTCTGTGTGGAGCAAAACAAGTATTTGGTCCGTTTATTCCTAAATACTCCTCCTTTACCAAGGGCCAATAGTTAGCTTTTGGTGGGTAACATGTCTTATAGTCTTAGCACGTGTTACATAATTTTGCCAGGAAAGTAGCATGTGAAAACGTTTTACCAGTGTCTGTCAGGTTGGCCCTTACTTTCCCATTCAATTGGCACTCCAAGGTTGCTGCTTAATGATCTGCCTTCTCCAGTGCATATTCCTCTAGATGACTCCTGATATCTACAGAGAGTGCAGTCATTAACTATGATGTCTGTAGGTGTAATTGTAGATGTGAGTGGATAATGCAACCCATCAGTCTTCCATCAGAAGACCGAAAGAGCTATCAACAAAGCAGTCATAAACATGCCTTTTTGGGGGGTAAGCTTTCTATTTATTGGATCTTTAGCAATAGCAATAGCACTTGGACTTCTATACCACTTAGTGCTTTACACCACCCTCTGAGTGGTTTATAATGTCAGCACATTGCTCTCAAAAATATGGGTCTTCTTTTACCAACTTTGAAAAGATGGTTGAATCAACCTTGGCCAGTCATGATTGAACTCCTGGATGTGGGAAGAGTTAGCCTGCAGTACAGCATTCTAACCACTGCACCATCAGGGCTCCTTTAATTTGCCTAACAATGAAAGCTTTCTAGGTATATTACAGAGTAATTTAAAAATTTTAAAACAATAAAACAAAATATACTTTCTTTTAAAATATTTGCAGTCCCCCCCCTATTTGTAGTGAACCAGGTAGGGAACAACAAATCATGTGCAAATATCAAAGTAAAAAAATTAGTAAAAAGTAGTATGATTAAAAGCCAATAATAATTACAAAAGTATCCATAAAATGAAACTAATATCTTCTAAGGATCAGACACATGCTGGAATAGACCTGATTTAGCTTGCTTACAAAATTTTAGTTGAATCAGGACTATCTATCTATACTTCTGGAAGAAGAATATTCTATGAAATGGTGACCTGCACTGAGAAGACCTTTTAAGGAAGAGGAGCAAAAAAAAGGCTCTCTTGATCACCAAAGTAGATGTCATCATAGACATTCAATTTTGGCAGTGTGTTGCATACTATGGATCCCAAAGCTCAGCCATACAGAACATTAATGATAATAACCAGTACATTTAATTAAGCCTAGGAACCTATAGGCAACCAATGTAGCACCTTCAAAATAAGAATTATCCTAGCTTGTTGGTGGTGTCCCATCAATAGTTTAAACTGCTGCATTTTGAATTTACTCCTCACAGAATGTATCATAGAACAACAGGATTGCTATCACCAGAACATATTGATCCTAGTAGATCAGTACATCCTTTGGAGCTAAGGAAAGACCCTGGGCTGTTTAAGTAGGAGGTGACAATGTAGGAGAACCCCAGGCACAAACCAACTCCTTTGGGGGAACCAATGTTATTAAGTTGCTTTGATGTCTGTTAACAGTTAGCAGTTCTGATTTTGTGCAATTTAATTTGGGCTAGTTTGGTTCATTCATATCCTTAAAGTTTCTAGCTAGCAGTACAAAAATTCAGACCCTCGTTGTTTATTAAAAGCATGAATAAAGAAGAAAAACTAGAATACATAACTAAAGAGCCTAGGAAAGGATATGAAAGTAAAGATCAGTGTGCATATGAGATCTTAAAGTCAAAATTAATTAGGAACCAAGTTCTAGAACGAGTTAGATAAATACAAATTTGTGATTGCAGCATTTTTCTAGTCCAGCAGTATGGCATTCAGCTTTGCTAATCTGTGACAAATCACTTTTCCCATCTCTCTCTTAAGATGTTACCAAATGCTGTCCACAGTGTTTTCAGCAGTCAGGAGGAATCAGCAGAGAATCAAGATTCTCAGGAGGCAGAATCCTGAAGCAAATGCCAAACCCTATTTTACATGATTTCAGTGATGATGTTGAAATATGATGGGATACTCTGTCTGACATCCCAAACCAGCGTGCTGGAATGGGAACTAAATTTATATACTCCTGGAAGGCCAAATCCTGGGAAATGTTGACATTTAAAATATGTATCGGCTAAAAAAAATTACAATATTGATTCACCTGCCTACAATAGTTAATAATAAAGATTGTCCCAAAGTGGTTATTTTAAAGAACTCAGTATTGAATGCTGAATGCTGTTAAATTATTTGGAGGGTATATTGAAGTAAAAAGGAGTTTCTACACTTTATTTATTTTTAAAGAAGTTTTTGTAAATTACTTTTAAAAGAGCGGGCTTGGATTTGGTGATCAATAGGAATCAGCGGCTGATATAATTATAGCTAATGAAATTTAGTTATACTAACATGTGCTGCTATATTTTATAATGGAGAAACTGCTGGGTAAATTCCTTAAGTTTCAGCTCAGGAATGTCTTGGTTTATGAATCCCATCATAAGCTCTGTTTGCTTAGGCGTAGCATGTTTGTAATACATTCAGCGGAGAAATACACTGCTTTGTATATTTCAGGACAGAACAGATCTCAGTAAATCTGCAAGGATTATGCTGCAATTATCTTTGAAATAGTATAGCTGCTAGGAATTCAGAATTCCTAATTTTGGTATATTGAATATATTTCTGTTATATGTTGCCACAGAGATAGACACTTTAAAATAGTATTGCCAGACAAAAAGTAGGCAGTTCCAGAGAAGTGGATAAACTTTTATAGCAATCTAAAAATATTTCTGCTTTCTAGCAATGTGAAAGACATAATCATTAGTTATGGGTATGTTTATTTGAAATGTACGTGCTTATTATATATCTGTTCCCTGCATCTTCTGCTATTGCATAATCACTAGTTATGGGTATGTTTATTTGAAATGTACGTGCTTATTATCTATCTGTTCCCTGCATCTTCTGCTATTGCAGTATATGTGTAGAACAAATGTAAAAGTCAAATGCTGAATTGCAGGTCAAACATTTTTGCTTTTATCAGTGGGAAAAAAAACCATTTCTGAAGTTACCTATAATTTTTATTATTCAGAACACGTATGATAACTTGAAAACACATGACACATTTTGTATACCTAAATCTGAAAAATCTCAGTTTATGTCATCCCTAAAGGTATACTTCTAAAAGCAATTCTGAGGTTACTTTTAAAATGAAATTGATGAGAAAAGGGAATTTGAGTAAGGAACAGGTTAGGAGCCCTGATGGTTAGAATGCAGTATTATAGGGAAACTCTGCCCACAGCCTAGAGTTCAATCCTGATGGGGCTCAAGATTGACTCAGCCTTCCATACTTTCAAGGTTGGTAAAATGAGGACCCAGTTTATTGGGGGCAATATGCTAACTCTGTAAACTGCCCAGAAAGTGCTATAAAACTCTATGGAGAGGTATATAAATCTAAGAACTATTGCTATTGCTAGTAATCTTCCCTCTGTATCTTTTACTTCCACCATCACTAATAATGCAATAACACACATACATACACAGAAACATATTACAAGTAATTAATAGTAATAGCAATTAAGCTGTTTTTACACACGTTTGACTGCTTTGTCAATTCAAAATGTGGTAGATGTTCTACACTTTATTCCACCATTAATACACTTTTTTACTTCAACCTCCTTTGTCATTTATCTTGGTGGAAATTTTGAGTAGAATTCCAAACAAAACCAATTTTTGTTTAAAGTTCTGTACCAATAACACTGCCTTCCTCCCTAAAACTGATATAATCTCAGAAGCCTAGTTCTTTGGGACACACGGATGGGGATGGACACTATTAGTTTTGGTAACCTAGTAATAAACAGAATTACTTACAGAGATGATTGCAAGAAATAATATAGACACTGGAGTTCAAAATTTTGAAAACCACAAATTGCATGACTCTTGTAATTTCAAACACATAAAGCTGTCATGCTGTTGGATCATCTGGTCTTAGATTAAGTGACATCTCTTGCAGTATGTAATTTCTCAAGGTTGAAGACAGAATAGGTTCCTAACGTTATTTTAGATATTTTGTTTCAAAGTATGTCATAAATGGAACTCAGAGTCTTCTGACGTTCAAGCTTGAAGTACTCATTGACCTGTGCTCTACCTTCCAAAAATACACATATTAATAATACAGTAATTTTTTATTGTTTTATCACATGTCTTTATGACATGGTTATATTATTTTCCTGATGCTCCATTTGAAATACAATTATTAGTTAAAAATAAACCCAAGTGATAAAAAGCAAGAAGCAAATATGGAGTTGACATGATAGAAATATATACACGTCAATAGATTTTCAAATCCCATTTTAGTGAAAAGCTGATTGAAACATGCTGATTCCCATTCAGCCTTACTTTCTAAGTTATACCAGCATGAATGATTAAATAATAAATCTGCTAACATATAAGTAAAATGCATATATTTCATAGATTTTTTGTTCTTTCCTCCATTAGAATTTGATACAGTTAGTAGAAATGTTTATAGACCTTCTAAAAGTCACTATCTGTTTTGTTTCTGTTTTAGGAGTTTATATTTTAGCTCATTGAAAAGTCTTAGTCTTTGAATAATGTAATATTTTATCCCAAGGGAGTATGTTGTAAAATTATAACTGTTGGTTTTCAGGGTTGAAGGTGAAAGAAAGTTTACTATTTGAAGGGTATTCAGTTGGGAAAAATGTGTGTGTTTTCTTTTACAGTAACAGTAAATTGCTATTGGGAAGATACTTAATTATCTGATTTTATTTTTCCTTCCTTCCTTCCTTCCTTCCTTCCTTCCTTCCTTCCTTCCTTCCTTCCTT